AATATGAAAGAAAAAGAATTCGCGGTAAGAGGCACAGTTCATTTCGTTACTAACCAATCACGAGCACCACACAGGCTCGGTCTCGACATTCCTGTGGGTGGAAGCTCCTAAAGCCACAGTGTCCGTGTGGATGGAACGCCCGAGACGGAATAAGCAGCAGCACATACGGCAAATCAGGAATGCTCTTGGTCAGTCTATGGTGAGATTCATAGATGATAATCCCAAGACGGTTGGTAGGCGTTCAGGCCTCCCTTCGATGGATCTATCTCGGCGATGAACTAGTGCCTGCGATGAGGGAAGGATCGAACGGTGAAAGCGAAATTGAGCTTCCGATGGATGCACAGCTTGTAAAGCTACTGGTTCGAGAGCTTCACATCACCCCCACGATCTCTGCTACACTCATGCTGCCGGATGACTCAATTGTTATGACTGTACAACCTCTTGGTCTCCCTGCTCGGACCATCGTATATAACACTTATGACACTCTCAACTTTGCTGCTCTCAGTCGAATCAAATTGTCTTCCATCTCCACCGCGTTGGATTACGGTTACCCTCTACTGGCCCGAAGTAGGAATAGCCGATTCGGGGCCCTTTTGGGTTCACTGGTTCGAGAGGAAGAGTGTATCACTTTGACTTTCTCAGCAGGGGCGCTTCAGCCCAAGACAGTTTCACTACTTTCTTCTATGGGTTATGATGCCGATGATGTGTTTCTTGTCGGCAGGCCGTCTAATGAGGGGCTATTGCTCAAGGGACTTATAAACTGTCGAACAACGTGTGGCTCCTTTATTGCTGATGCTGACACCATTGCTCCCGAAGAGGCTACTTGCGATGATGGCGCTGTGAGCTTGCAGAGCATACCCAGCGACCCTTTGGGCGACAGAACATTCTTTGGTGTCCTTCGGCCATCTACAACATCTCATACTTCCTCATCATAAGGCCTTCATCATGGGCATGTTCATCAAACTACCACTCGAAGGATGTTTCTAATATGAAAGTTCATTGCTAGTTCAATGGAAATATTCATGCCACGGATTCAGGGTTGAGTTTTGCGATATGAACGAGTGAGTACCAAATACCGGTGGGATGTTCGCATCAGTCGAGTATTCAAGCCAAAATATTAGTTGGAGGCATTATGGTTCGCACTTGGAAGGTTTTTATGATTCGCACACGACTCGTTGAAAATTAGCTGACGAATTTCACTGGACAGCACAACACCCAATAGTGTATGATTCGGCTCTATACAGAAGGACACATAACGCTGAAATGACAGAAGAAAATAAACGACCAAAATGACCTTCATGACATCTCTCTGATTCGATGGTGTAGCGGCTACCACTTCCGAAGCTGAATGGCATTCCACTCAGCAACTCTGGTTTAAATCTCGGTGAAACCGATGCGAACAACACCGGGTCGCGAGCTTTCTGAGGATACTGAGGACTATCATGCCTATCATAGGCAATGAGCTGTATCGCATGTATCCTATTCGAATACCCACATGTTGGTCATGCCCCGTGCCGAGATGTTCACCCCAGGTTGACACAGTCGTATAAAGCCCCTGTCCCCGGGTGGTGCCCACACGAGAACTGCATAACCTCACCACTGAAAACGCGGAACTTTTTTATTATTCAGAAACTAGCTGGACTCCAGTTTTTTGACTGCTGGTCTCACGACTGGTACCTCTCCCTCTTTCGACTCAATCCCAAGCACACCCTTTGTTTTCTGCGATATCTGGCAGGCAACGACATCACAGCTGCGACCATCAGACGCTCGCTCACCATCGCTATTCCTCCAGCACTCACGAGATACAGTATGTACCCCGGCAACACTAGATAGAACAGGAACAAGAAGGGGACCACTGGTAGAGACTTCTTGGTGAGATCCGCTAGTCCTTCTGGAGCAGCAACCTTACAAAAAAACTATCCACAAAACTCGAATCGACTTGGAATCGACACCGGAACTCTCTCACATTCACTGAGGGATCGGCCAACTTCTTCTGGAGTAGGCTTGCAAGCCCTGGTACATGCATGGCGCTGCAGATGACAACTACTGTTTCACCCGGCTGAGAGTTCCATATGATTTGATGAGCCATGTATTGGTTTCTCTCGTCAATGAGAACCTAAATTATTCCCATTCTGACTTCGACATTTCCCAAGAGCTTACCTTGTGGATCCCTGAACAGTATCGCTTTAGGAACGAGTCCAACTCCCTCACGTCCTCACTATTAGCCTTGTCCTTCCGAAACACCAAAGACCGATTGCCATACTTCAGAAAATTCCCGAAGGTCACCGGATTGAGCAGCTTCTGGGCAACTCTATTCTTCGTTATTGTGAACCTTCCGGACCGGATAGTGTACAGCAACAACAAAAACTCCGCCTTACGGTCGATCAATGAGATATATAGCGGCGTTGATTTCCTTGGCTGCCTCAATAGAAGCCTTCAGTTCCCTCAGCATCAGCCCTCCATGCACCTGTCTCTATCAGTTCATCATCATTCAATTCGGTACGAAATAGTGGGGGTGGAATATATAACAGTACATAGCGATTCTCCGGTACTCACAGTGCTAACTATGTCGACTCGATTGGGCTGCTGTAGATGCATGCCAGTGCTGATGTGCTCTAAGGCGTTCTTGTATCGAGCCTGGTCCATCTCCAGCATGACTTGCCGAGGATGCAACGTCCGTATCTGATGGCATTCTTCTCTAAAAATTCACAAGTCGGGTTATCTCACCGCCTCCGCAGCTGCTTGGGCTGAGCCGTTCCCGAAGAGCCTGTCCTGCACAAGGCCAACAAGATGGAACGTTCGTGGAGGGATGTTGGGCCGAGGCGCCTCCTTTACAGTGTGGAGGTACGCTGAGGAAACAAGGCGAATAATGAGGCAGCCGGTATAAGAAAAACGATAGTATTAGGCGAATTCGGCTGCGCAAATGGACTGGTGGAGTTATCAGCAGTTTTCTATCACTGAGGTTCGACTGGGCTAAAGCTGAAATTGGCAACTCCTCATGATAAAGGGAACTTATCATGACTGTCTCATAAGGCAACTGTCTCAGGGCAACTGTCTCATGTCTTATAGATTCTCAGTGTTTCGATGGAGAGTGGTATGAAAAGGGAAAAGAATATTGTTGTTACCCTCCCTGATTGATGTCGACATCAGCCGCACCGCCCCTGGACGGATGAGTGGTCTTAGTCGGCCTAGTCCGATAGATGCCGAGACTGTTGACATAGCATGAACGCGTTCAAGTCTGAGAACACACTAAGAGGCATAGATAATCGGCTTCGATAACGATCACATATTCTGACATCGACTCAGAAGCTCGCATGGCCGAGTAGTTAAGGAGAGGGAGACAGTACCTCGCCCACGCAGGTTCAAATCCCACAAGTGTCAAAACAAACTCAAACCAACCAACAACTAGATACCCAAGTCCTTCGCAAAGTCCTCAGCCAAGCCGTCCTCTTCCTCCTTAGTAGTCAAGCATCCGCCTTCTAACGAATTTCTAATATTCCGCGCCAACTCCTGCAGACGTAACCGTCGTCGTTTTCCTACCACACCAATAGAACATCGTCATCCGAACTGCACACTGCGTAACGTAACTCACCAGACACGAACGTTCCCCTCCGCCCCACTTGGTCAACTGCCCTAGGAGTAGCCAAAAGAGACGCGCCTTCCGCCGGGCGTTTCGGCCCGGTCTTTAGGCGCTCCGGTGCCGCCTAACAGCCAGGGAATAGCCAAAGCCCGGCAGATTCCCCCTACCAGTCGGCCTCCCATGGTTGTCGTATCGACCTCCTTCGGGAAGGGCAGTAAGCCTGTAGACGGCATCGAAGCCGCCGGCAATGGTCTCGAGTTGGTAGCGTTGATCTAATCCAACAATCCCTTCAACAAAGACGCAACATTATAACCTCCTGGGCCGAGATGATCGTAGCTCCACCGGTCATAAGCTGGTTGATCATAGCCGCCAACTCCCCTCCTGAAGGCGACAACGTAGACACAAGCAACGGTGATACCCCGACTCCATCAAAATACTCGGCCGCTGGTGTCACCCCAACATCCAGAGCCTAGGAGTATGTGTTGGAGTTTTATAACTATGAAAATGCCTATAGTAGTAAACTGCAGTTGTACTCTTGCAGTAAGAGGTTACTTTATCAAACGTATCAAATAAGGCACCATATGGTCAAACATGTTCAGTTTAAGACCCCTAACTTCATCCTTGGTGTCATCGTCACGGGACTATCGGAGTTTTTCGAGTGAGTGTAACATGAGTGAAATTCCGTCGCTGACACTTCACAGAAGCATGTCAATGACGTATTGATGATCAGGATACCGATGGTCATGCTACTACCCGATCTCTCCCCCAATTTCCTCATCACTGACTCCACACCAGTCTCAGCGATATCTTCCAACTGCCTCCATCGCTCCTCTGAGAGGTCCTCCTCCCTCAGGCCTGTCTCCATCTTCAACGCTCTTACAAATTCCCGTCCATAGACGCCCATAAAGAGAGTAGCATCCACTGACCTTCAGCTGATGCTGGTCCAATGCGGCAACAACCCCCACTAGCAAACACGACAACAAATACAGGCACTGAAAGACCACTTCTTCACACTGCGAAAACTCGATAATCGTCCTCATACTCGTCTCGGACACGTCAATGGGAGAGTAGGTTCTCCAGCTCAATCGGACCAATTGTCTTCTTCCTCTTCCTCCCCAGCGCCTTCCTCATACGTGCGGGCCACCGTCCAACTGGTCCGAGCGTATCTGACCACCACTGCCCCATTGCTATCGTGAATTCACCCTAGCTGCACCATCACCACGGGAATTAACACCAAGCAGGAGACTTAGAATTATTCTCAGAAAATACGAAGCCGAAATTTTTCATGACAGAGAAATAAAACGCTTCCTATCCCTGTAAAATTGTAGTACAGAGGAAGCGCCACGTGCATATTCATCATCTCAGAAATTGCATCGAGCGACAGAATCACAGCAACTCCATAGAGTCATCCCTCTCATATACTACCTATTCACTGTCCCCTCAGCTCCACAGGAGTATATAGTCCCCAGCCTACTACTCCACGCGAGACCACTCATAACGTAAATATGCCCTTGGACCAGCGCCCGTCTATCGCGACCATCACTACTCAGTATCGACAGCCCATTTCGATTGGCCAGCGCCACACTGTCGAGGCCCCCTTCCAAGAGGCAAGCCACCGATTGACTAACATTAGGGAATCTCGTAAAGGAAAGCCTCATCCCATCAGCTGCGTTATAGCGATGAACTCCTAGGTCTGCAAGGACGTACACGACCCCATCGTCCCATCTAGCCGGTGGCAGTATGCCGTACACTCTCTCCAGCTGAGAGGCCCTACCATGGCGCTTCCGACCGATTCGAGGATGCATGTTGACGCTGGCGCC